TATTCTTTTAAAATTATATCTGCACAGTTTTCAAGTTGAGCAAACAAATTCTTGCACAGTTTTCAAATTGTGCAAGATTTCCTTGCACACCTTACAAAATTGCAAATTGTGCAAACGTTTCAAACTGTGCATGACACTCCGACGAGGATGCTATTATGCGGACGATACAAGATTTTGCAGGATAACGTTCCATAAGGCTAATAATTAGGCCTAGAAACGGTCACCTGGTTTTGGCGTCAAAAGCTATTTTCGATTATAATTCCATTTATAGTCACATAATGCTGTCAGAAAATGAGCTAACTGAGGTGATTATAATATGTATTTTGGCAAAGTTACATCCTAGCCTGCTGGGCCTAGTTAGGCCTACCTTTCTAAGCTAGGCCTAGGCCTAGGCTAGGCCTGTCCTAGCATATGCCTAGGCCTAAGCTAGGGTGTAGGGCGCTAATGAACTTTCGCACCTAACTTTTAATTCTTAATTTATTTACCTCAACGCTCTTCTCACAGTCACAACATATAATTAACAAACATTTACACCTGATTTAACCACTCACAAAGTACCTTTTTCAAAAAATAAGCCTAGGCCTAGGCCTACAAATAAGTACAGCGAATCTGTGTTCGCTAGCACGATGAGCGGCTGCCATTTTGCAATCAAGAAATTGCCAGAACTTTTAATTCTTAAAGTTTTTACCTCAATGCGCACAGTCACAACATATAATTAACATTTTGCAATCAGTAAGAAATTGCCAGAATGTCTGATTTTGCAAACGTTTATGAAAACTTATCTATTTGCCGTATTGTATGTCATTCTTTATAATGTATGGTGCTGTTGTTTGACTATGTATGTTCACATGAAATTCACACGTACAATAATTACTTCAAAAATTAGTAATGATCCAATGCGTACGCAGATCGAAAAATCCTAGGGGCCTAGGCCTAAATCCAGAAAAACAACTATTAAAGCCAATGATAAACGTCGGTTCGATTAACATTGATTACGACAAGAAAGTTCAAAAAGATGGTACTGCATGATGCCACATTTTGTTTCATGGGAAAATTCCAATTAAAATTATATGACTGGCCTTTAATGGTTTCAAAATTTAAGAATTGACTCGAATATTCTGGCAATTTCTTACTTGATTGCAAAAAAGTACAGCTCGTTGTGCTAGCACGGAAACCCTGTATCAACCTATATTTATAAAAGTATCTTTTTGTTGAAAAAATGTACTTTATGAGTGGTTGAATCATGTAAAAATTTTTTATAATTATGTGTTGTGACTGTGAGAAGAAAATTCAGTTAAAAAAATTAAGAATGAAAAGTTAGGTGCGAAAGTGCATTAGCGCCGGGTCTAGCCTAGCCCACTAATATCTGTTGCATTCATTTAGGTCTGCCAAGCTAGGCATAAAGCCTAGCATATCCGCCTAGGCCTAGTTAGGGTCCTGGACCAAGTAGGTGATACGGCGAAGGTAGAGACGTAGCTGATCATTTTGGTCGCTTCTTATCGGTCGGGGTAATTTTGTCATGCATTTCGGTCAGGGTGCATGGAGCGCTAAGGTGTGACAGTGAATAGGCCTAGCTAGGGCAGGCCTAGCCTAGCTTTCTAATAGCTTAATTGAAATATTAACTTTATTATAGGCCTAGGCATAATAATAATTAATAGAAAAAGCCTGATAAAGCTAGCGAAATCTTTTGTCTCAATAAATTTTGTTAGTCTAAACAAAGATGTATAAAAAAGGGTGTTGGCTAACCCGTACAACCCAACCCATACCCATGCCAACCAATACCCACTTTGGCTAACCCATGTACACAAATTTTAGTTGACCCGTACCCATGTTTGGTTAACCCATACACACGTGATTTGGTCAACCCGTACCCAAAAGAACTTGTTACCAATGTTATGATAAATGTTTAAATATTGTATTTATTTTCAATAAAGCTGATAATAAGGTACAGCACGTACATGTGCTATAATTGTTGGTACATAAGAAAATATAATACATACTCCAAGTATTGAAATACACGCCATCGTGTTCCTGAATTTCTGATGATGACATAATTAATGTCGAAATATTGAGATTAATCAGTGGACCTTTCGGTTGTTGGTACATGTACTATAATTTTTTGGTATTTTATTTTTGTTATGCATTTCGGTCGTAGTGTATGGATAGCGGAATGTGCGACCGCGTATCTACAACATGGTAGCTAAGCAGTATACCTTTCCTTTCACCATAAATGTTCTATTGACCAGTTTAAAATAATACATAAGTAAATTAAAAAAGACTGAATGGTATAATAATAAATGAAAACAAAGGAAATACATAGTACTTTCAATGTCCATATTTATTTTCCATAAAACTTTCCAAACATTTAAAATAAACCACTAATGTTTACATCGGCGTTCCATACAATTGCGACCAACGCGTCTAGGCCTAGGCGATCATAAATTTCTTGATTTAATGCATGATCAGTAAAGGTAATTACAGGTATGTATTCTAACCCATCAGTTTGGCATTCATAATATAGTTTAATATGATTATTATCTAGTACAATACAGTTTGCAAAATGTTTTATTATATAGTAAAAATATCTTTCATCAAACTTGGGTACAGGTTAGTGTACGGGTTGACCAAAAATTTGTACGGGTACACCAATATTCTGTGTGCGGGTCATCTAAAATTTGGGTACGGGTTGGCATGGGTACGGGTTGACTTGTATCCATAAAAAAGATGCTAAGCTTTAATAAGCCTAGGCCAACTTACTGTACTTATTTGATTTCATGCTTTACTATAACTGTAATCTCTATTAACTTTTATTATCTAAGCAGCATGAAACTACATTACTGCAACCAACATAATTAGTTTAATTAATACTTTTTTTTATTAATATTTTATTACTAGCCTATTATTACAGTTTATTACAGTATCAATTGGTGTTATTTTTCTCTTTACAGAATATTATATTTTCTATATGAAATTATCAATAACATACATGCCAACATTTGAGTAATAATAATCAGGAGACCAAAATAAGATGTGTGTTTCCTCATAGATTTTTAGTATTTTAGCCGAGCCGCGGGCCAGAGGTCGAGTGAGGGCGGGGTTTGGGAGAGTACAAGGTGCGGGTCTGGGGGCGAAGCCCTCGGAAGCTCTGGGATTCTTTCTGTTTAGAGAGCCAAAATGATTGATTTGGATATGTAAACTAATAACTAATTTGTAAAATTTGGAAATTTATTTTTTTTCACTAAAGTCACCTTTATATGTATCATGCTATGCTGTTATTTTCCCCACTGTCAATGTTAACACAACAATTCTTATCGATTTAGTGAGGGTTTCTGCCTAAGAAATGTCCGAAATCGTAAACTTTGAAGGCTGATTTCTCAAATATTGTTCTTTCAACAGCTGTATGTTTAAACTCCTGACTTTATAATCGGATATAAATATAAATGATTCTTTTACCATTTTGTAGCTCTCATTTTACTGTTTAACCCTGTATTATTAATAAATGAATCTGTTTCTGTGACGAGTTACTGGTTTGGCTTGTCTTTGCCACAATTACTAAAAGAATATAACTTGAGGAAAGAAACATTTCCACATGTTCCCGAGGTACTCTTGAGGTGAAGCAGACACATTGTTTGTATTTTCTTGTTTGTTTTATTTCCATTGTTGATACATATTCTGATTATATACAATACACAAATAAATGGAAATAGCTGTTATAGGCTTCTTTAAATATTTTATATGCCGGGAATTTCACTCACGTTACCCAGTACTAGTTGCCTGGAAACTAACTATAAAAAAATTGGAAAGAAACTTTCTCATAAACAGTACTCTTGACTTTTCACTTCTAGGAACTGTAAGAAAAAAAAAATTATATTCAAATTATTTTTTTCCAAAGACTGTAATTGAAAATATCTGAAACGGTAATAACTGTAAAACTTAAATAATAAATAATTATACTGAAAAAATACAAAAAAAAGTATTATGCATATTCAAGCATTGTAAAAAAGAAAAATATAAATAAAATTCATACTAAAAATACAAAACCCTTTAAAAATTCCTTTCCAAACATCATACTGTAAATAATTATATAGTACTTCTAGTGCGTACGTTGGCATTTCATACTGCGGCTGTTTATCGTGACCAAAATGTGGCGCAACCGAAATGAGGCCTGACTGAAAAGATCTGTATTCAGGTCAACACTCTAGGTCTCTTGGTAGGGGCATATGCCTGTGTTGATGTTCAGTAAAATAAAAGGCCTGGTTTAGTTTATAGAGCACTGAGTGCCATACTGTGAGGTTTTGTAATTGCATGGCTGAAACCCCCAAAACTTGGGCCTAGTTAAAATTTGTGAGAAAAATCGCTAGGAAAACAGTTGCACAGAATCGTAACTACTGCATAGTACATGGGTTATTAATGTGTTAAGATTAGTTCAAAGCCTAAGTTTCGGCAAAGTCTGCATGGAAATAGGCCCTTATCATAGGCCTAATTTTTGTGTGGAGGATATATTCTCTGTATATAACCTTTCTTTACAACTTGGACAGAGTGGCCATAGGGAGGCAAATGGCATCCCTTTCAGGCTTGAACCAGTTTGGAGGCGAAGTAGTTCCATAGCCTATGCAGTAGTATCCAGAAAATCAGGAAATTAAGTGTGTTTTGTTTGTCTACTTTACAAATAAATAGACCACTTTAGGTGTTTACATTGGCCTGGCGAAGATGCTGGTGGCACACTTCCTTGAAAATCGGCTAGGGTTTACCAAATGCATGGTATCACAAAACTGCTCAACATTTCTTTTTGTTTTGGCAAAAATGCGAAAGCTACAGTACATGGATGGAATTCACATATGGCATAGTTATTATTAGGGATTGACAAAAAAAAAAGAAAATTAATTTTTACTATTTTTATTTAATTATTAAAGTCATTGTTGTCTTGTCTCTTTGGATATTCAAGTGCGAGCCTCACTGGCAAAAGATGGTGAAAGCTTCTTACACGATGCTAGCGCAGTCTGCCTGTTGCCCAATGGACACTGACAGCAACATAGTACAGTACTCGGCCTATGAGTTAGAACGAAAGAGAAACGCATTTTTCAGGATACTGTATGCAATCTATTCAACTGTCTTAATATTACTTTTAGACGACTATGTTTACCAAAAGTTGCTGTAATGAATATTTGCTGAGTAACTACCGTACTCCATTCATTTAAAAAACCCAAAACACTGGTCAAGACGAACAGAAAATTTATAGGCCTATTCCAGGCCCTCGCACTTGCAAAATGACTAATAATTGAATAAAAATAGAAAAAAAAAAATAACAAAACATAAATAATTTATTGATATTTTTTTTTGTTGATTCCTAATATAGAGTACCACAGTCGTGTAGTCACGACGCCAGGCGTCACTCTCTGTTGTCAACAGACGTATGTTACTGTTCATTACGCCTGAATGACTTCATAGGCTTTCTGGAATAGGCATTTTAAAATCTAATATATTACCATCAAAATGTATTAAAAACACAAAAGCTTGCATTATATTAGTTATCGAACACACAGTTAATCATAATTAAAATTTACACAAAAAAGTAAGATACACTACACTATCCTAATAATTACGTTAGTAATTGGGATCAGTGGTTTGTCAGTAGAGAGAATTTGCTACGATAGCAACGGAGTAGTATCACGTGGTATCGTGATGTGACACTGTAGTACTCTATGCCATGTAAATTTCATCCTTGTAGCTTTCCTATTTTTGAGACAACAAAAACAAAGATAACCAGTACTCTGATATACCTTGCATTTAGCTTTCTAACCGATTTCCTTGCCTACGAGGGAAGTGCACCTCCAGTGTCTTTGCCAATGTAAACATCGAAAGGAGTCTATAGGTTTATCATATCAGCTAGCATGTTTTACACCTTCCCCACATTCTTTTTATTAATTTTAAGTCAAGATGCATTTTATTATAGGCCTATTTTAATTATTAGTATTAAAGATATATTAGTTATTCAATTAATCAAATTGCTTGACAGAAAACATACAATACAAAATGTGTTCCATGCATTGTGGCCGAAAAAGTCCTATATCGATGACATACTGTAGTACTGTACTACTGTAGGTTAGTCTAGGTCTATCAAATTATGGAAAATGCGAACCCACATACCACTTACCAAGTAAAGTAAATTTGCCATGAGAATCATACTTTTGGGGTCTGTTTCACACATAAGGACCAAAAGTCTGGCCCATAAATGAATGCCTATATTATAAAAAAAATGAAATGTACTATTTGTGATTTTGTAGCCCTCCTCTTACTAAAAATTCTTCATTACAGTACCTTAAATATCATGGTAGCATCATGATGTAGGCCTATAGTTGCACCAGCATTGTGTCATATTATAAAGTGCTGTAGGACAAGATCGAAGACCTAAAATGTATGTATTCTCAAGTAAAAGTGAAAAATGCAGATTCTGAATGCTTTTTCGAGCATTTAGGAATATAATTTTCAAAAGTCTCGCGTCTGCAAATTTGTCTAATTTGAAATGACTGAAACCAGTCAATGCCAGTGGATGCCACTTCGAGCAAATGCTATTTAGAGCAGATGCCAGTTGGAGCAGATTTTTGCGAACATAAGTCTGTATGCCCTACCCGCTGCATTTAGAGAACTTATAGTTGTGCAATGTCATTAGGCCACATTAATTTAATAGTTTTTAGTTTTTCTGCCGCACGCTTTAGTAAATTTATGCGCGTTGTTCACACCTAAAAACATGAAAAAATTTTTGTTTTTCAAAACCTTTTCTTTTTCAAATTTTGTGTGTTAACACACTATAATACTTAATTAGTGAGAGCCCTCTAATAGACATTTAACACTCAGTATTTTTTATTCTTCACTGTTTATCGCGGTAAATTTTGCATCTATTTAATCTTCATTTTCAGCTTTAAAACTCAATTCAACGATTGATAGATTTATTGAGGGGCTATAGATTTCACTGTTCCCCAAATCTAGAGTAGTCGATATTTGTTTTATATACCTTTTACATAGATTCTACGAGTCCTAAAAAAACGTAATAATGCAAAGAGCACTCACCATATAGGCCTAAGCCTATTCCTAGGCCAAGGTGGTCAAAGTCCAATCTCTCGTTGTAGAGGTAGCAGTTCCCTTTTTAACCAATCAGGTGCCTAGAACCTACAGTATGAATGTTAGCTTCTTCTGAAGAGCAAAGCTCTGGAAAGGTTATAGCCTGGGTTCCAGGCCCTAATTTTGGGTTGCTTACTCTTTATTGCACTTAGTGCGCGCCATACCTAATTTAATTGGCGCCCCATACTCGATTTCTTTATTTTCGGATTAGGGCCTGGGCAAATGCTTCATGCATACGATTTTCCACATCAAATTCGATGTGGGATATCGTATGCATGACTGATTTTGTAAATCATGTGATTGGCTTACTTCATGCATATTAATTAATCTTGGTAAATTTTCAAAATTGAAGATGCGTATGTCTCGACTAGAACAAGCCAACCAGCTCCCTTCTGCCTACCTACTTGAATTAAAACAGTTATATAGTTCTGGCCTGCTGAGAACGACTATGGACCGATAACCGTAGTAGGCTATACTTACAGAACCTTGCTCACCGCTAGCTGCTACACAGATTTAGGCATTTAGGGTAGATTATTGTTAAAAAGGCAGGCCTCTGTAAGTAAGAACTTAAAAATAGGCCAAGCCTCTTCTAGGCTAGGCCTACTACTTCTGACTCCGAGGGCCTGAGCCATCCTCCTGGAAAGTTAAAATGGTGTTGTATTTGTAATGGTATGCCATCTAGTCTAAGCTTAATTGTTTTTGCCAAAATTAGTCTTACTAGGGTCTATTCTAAATACTTTAGGTCCGTTTTAGTAGGGAGGACAATTTTTAGTCATGCCTAACTAGTCGACGCGAGTGACTCAGTTTCGTGGCTCCAAAAATATGAACATTTGATTGGTTGAAATCGTTTATTTCGGTCCGCCCATTTATCCAAATACGGAATATAAGATTACGTCATTTTTTTGGCATCCTGGTGCCTGCATTCAGTGTTTTACAAGTCGCTTATTCCGTCTCTAAATTAACTTTCTAGTTGGTGGCGCTGTCCAGAATGAGAAAAATAATACAAAATAAGAGACTTTTGGCAAGTCTAGGAAGGCTATTGTTTTAACCTGTTGTAATCGTCGTTTTTCGCTGTCGTAGGTAGTAAATTGTTTGTTACCACAGTAAACTAGAGTTTGGTAAGAAAACAGAGCCTAGTGTGTGAATATGCTAATTTGCTCATTTGCATAATATTTCACTAATCAGGTAATTTACGATAAGAATTGACAGAGTCTTGTTTATGGTACGTGTGTGAATATGCTCATTGCTCATTTGCATAATTAATATTTCACTAATCAGGAAATGTACACAAGTTACCACAATAACTACAGTATGGTATTCTGATTGGTTTCAAACTTGGTTTGCTAAATCATTTTCCCAATTTTATTGAATAATGCAATACTGGAAAATACTTTAATTTTTATCTTCACAGTCACAACTGGGCTCTGTAGACGAGTTGAGGTCACGTTTCTTCCATGCTTGTGAAGGTAATTGTTTAAATTTGAAGTTATTTATTAACTCTCTCGATTGAGAGCCTACTCAAATATTATTAATTGATAAAGGTAAATTGAATTTTTTTTAAATGAAATTTAGTAACCCCTTCTTTAGGACACTCCTATTAAGGGGACATTTTTTATTTTTGAAAATATATTTTATCAACTTTTGAATCATAATTGCTAATCTCTATAGGCTGACTTCATGTGTTATTTAATACACAATCTTGTCAATTTTTGCTTTTAACTAACTGTATACTTTTTTCTGTGTACGGTCATGTAGGATTCCAATCTATAGTGTAACCTGCACCCTCATTTCCAACTTATTAAATTCATGCTGCTTTTTATAATTAATAGGAATCATGATTTTAATTGGTGAGGGAAAATATGCTTTTGTTTTATTAGCCCACTCATGAGAGAGGGTTTATAGCATGGTTAAAATTTGTAGTCATTTGTTTTTCTAACAGAGGCTTTCTTTGTGATGCAATTGGGCTGCAAATTTAGTATAGAGGAGAAGGCTTGGGGAATTTAAAGTAAATGAGTCTATACGAAAATGTGGTCTGTAAATACGTTAAATTTAATGATTTTTTACACTTCTATATCATGTTAGCAATATTGTAATAAATGCATTTCTCAACTTAAGCCAATGAAGTTGATTAATTAAACAAATAGAGACATGAAAATTTAAAAGAGACATGAACTATTTTTTATTATTGAACACTAATTTAGCATACCTGTTGTTTTACAAATGTTGAAGACGTTTGAATTCATTTTCGGTTGAATCAAGAAGTAGAATTGCATTTGTAAGAAACACAAATATCCACATAAGATTTTTCATTCAACTGAATTATTTCAATGCACATAACACAAAACAATAATTGATTGGGCAGTTAGCATACAGTACTGTATGAATATGGTAATTAACATGAAAATGTAACACCATGTGAATGTGACAGCAAACATAAGTCTTGAAAGAACAAAGATATCTATTACAGCATTTCTTGTCAGTGGAAATGGGTCCCATAAAAAAAAGCCCGAATTCAAATACCGGTTTTGAAAACCCCAATTGAATCTGGTCTCGATTGCCAAATACCCGTATTCACCGAGCAATTTTTAGCTGCAACGCAATAGCGGTCTCAGTTTGACCACAAGTTGACCTGACCTACAGTGTAGCAAGCTGTCAAATGGTACTTGGGACATAAACAACTCTCATCTTGGCGCGAAGTGTGTATTTTAATTTTTTGATTTAGCAAACGTACCAGTAATGTCGGGCGTAATTTGGACCGACGCCATCACAAGACTAGTGATTAATCTGTGGGGGAGGAAAAGATGAGGGGAGGGCAGCCGCAAAGATAATCTGGTGTATAAAAAAATAGTTGCCGAAGTAAATAAGCAATTTGAGGGGGGGGGGGGGCAGATCACCGCTGCACAGGCCACCAGCAAGCTGAAGAGACTGCGTTGCGTGTATACACATGTTTGGAAGGTGGCAGGCAAGCAAACGTTGATGAAAACAATGATGGTAAGTACAAGGAGAAAATGAAAGGCTAGTCCTAAAATAACGTGTAGGCTAGTACTGTATGGCGCGGCCTACAGAGTATTATCGTTCGTACTGTTAATATTTCTCCGATTAAACAAAGCCCATAGTAAAAAAAATAAACGCATCGAGGGTACCATTTCGAATATTCGCGCAACTAGCTACTCAAGTTAATTCGACCGAATGAATTTCTGTTGACCTGGAAATTTTCACGCTTCATCGCACTTCTGCCTAACGAACTAGCTGTGGGTAAAAATGACGTCATTGTACAACGACCTCCTTAGGAGAAACCGGTTTCTGTTCGTGTTAAAATTAAACTGCAATGCGGTCTTTGTTTATAAACAATTATGAAAACCTGTTTCACTGAATACCGTACTTTTGTATTTTGTCAGTAGAAACAGGCCCTACAGTATATGTTAATAAGAAATAAGCATATGTTAACGTTGTTGGTATATCATTTGGGACAGGTAATTCATGATCTAAACTGCATATAACAATAGTGTATACCACATACTGACTTTTTAAGTGTTTCAGGGAAAAAATTGCCAACAACCATAATGTCTTTATGTTACTGAAGTAGGAAGAAAAACCAAAATACCTATTTGTAAGATGAAGATGTTGATATTAAAAATGTTGTTGGTTATCTTTAATACCATTATGAGTGTCATTTAATTCTGCATTGAGTTACTTATTACTAGCTTTCTATAGAAATATTTTTGTATATTGAAATTCAGTATGGTGTCCCTTGTCATGGAAAGACCCATGTATGTACAGTACATCAATATACATGAATCTGGTATATTTTATGGTAGGTGAATTCCAAAGGGAATAGGGGTTTATTTTCCTTTATAGCCCGCCATCTCTATCGTAGAGTAAAACAGAATAAACAGAATAAATATAATAGTTGATTAAAAAGTTGATTGATTTGTATTAAAGCAGAGACCTGATCAGACATAGATAATTCCTCATCAAATACAACCCCAAGATTTCTAAAGGTACATAGTTGATAAATTCTTGAACATAGTCATGCATAATTTAAGCTTGTTTTAGAGTACCATGACTCCCATCTCTCTCTTCTATTCGGTTTTTCTCCTTTATTGCTAATCATGTTTTTCATCCTCCCCCTCCAGCGTCTTCTCTGAATGTGATTATAGTTACTCTAAACATTGTATAAGGTTATGGTATTAACAAGTATTTGCAATTTTTATTGGCAAATCTTGAACAACTATGAATGCAAGTGAAGCATGCACTATCGGCTTCAGTATGGACAGCGGACAAAGCAACAGAAGTGTTGGTATAAAAGTGCAGCCAGTGCAAAGCACTAGGGCCCAGGGCTCTTTGGAACTGTTCAGTAATAGCCTAAAATTTATAAATTAAAAAAATACAACTTGTGAAAACCTAAGTTGTAGCTTCTTGGGGTATTGTGGCCCAGTTGTAGCTTGAGTATACAACCCTTGGTTGACACTTCATGTCAAAAGGCCATGCAATTATTACACTGGACTCTGTTATCATCTAGCTACACCGCAGCCAAGCAAGTAAAAATAAGAAATATATGTACTGTAGCACACTCAATTATTCTTCCAAGTTTTCGCAGGGTCCTGATATTGTGTGTGTGAAATGAAAAAAATATCTCGGGAAATCACTCTTGTTGCAAAGTTAATTGTTTAAAGTTGAAACATTTTCAGTTAGAGTGTTTGTCTAGGAATTGCAAGTTCACTGTTTGGCATCCGTTCGTGCCCCAAACAATAATAAACAGATCAACACAAACAGGATCTCAAGGTTATTGTAGTTAGACTAGAAAGTGTTTGCTTTCTATGCAATAAAAGAAAACTACTTATCTCCTAAAGTACACCCTTGCTTATAGCCTTTAACCTTTCATTTTTGTTTCACTTTAATTTGTTTGTAATACTGTTCAGTAGTCATTCATTGTTATGGAAAACTGGAGTGAAGCTCCCTGGAGGCTATTGTTTTTACCTGGTGTTTTTATTGGTGATCCGCTTCTCGAGCATTTTTGTATTATTGATCATATAGCTTAACCAATTGCCATTTCGAAATCGTATTAAGTGAGCATTAACTTCGGGTTAATATTGAATGTAATGTACCATAATTTTACACGTGCACGTATGCGTGCGTCAAAATTAAAAAATGCTCGAAATCACTTTTTGACTAAATTAGAACACGTTTCAGGCCATTTTGAGCATTTTAAATTTTTGTGAAATTTTCCACTACGCGCGCACACTATATTGCCTATTTTTAATCAGTTGACCAGGCTATAATTGAGATAGGTGCCACTTGGAGAGGTAATCTTAAAAAAATTCCAGCTTCCCTACAAATATCCGGTTGTTTTTCATTATTTCTGTGTGCTATACAAGGTATTCCAGACAACTACCATAATTTTCATGTATGAAGAAGGTCTAAAATAATTTACTACATATTTGTCCTGTAGTGTTTAACAGTGTAGCCCTTATGTTGAGCAATAATCTTCAGGTATTGCTTTTATCACTGCAATCTGAAAGTCTTCGTATTCATCGTATGAACAATTCTTGGACTTCCACGGGAATTTCTGCTAACATGGTGGCAACCATGATATGTCAGTGATCTTGTCTCTGCAAAACTTTCTATTGAACATGTTACTTGCTTGATTTACACTTTTCTCCAAACTCCAAGCAGCAGTGAGACATACTCTTGTTCTTCAGACAACTTTTGTGACAGAACATAAAACTCCGAAGTTGCTGAAAGTTCCAACAAACTCAGTTTATGATTACAGAAGCTACATTTCCTTTACGAAAGAAAGCTGGGGTGTAATTGTCTGTAATGGATGTCTCGAGAAAGGGAACGGATTATTGCATATGCCTTGGTTGGTATTCGTTAAAGCATGCTTTGCATACAGGAAGACTTTCGTATCGGCTTCTTCTTGGTGGTTCTACGCCAGATTGTAGAACCCCAGGTTGCCGACTGCCAGATTTTCGAGTTCACTTTGCCAAAACACAGTTTGCCGAATGCCAGTTTGCTGAATCAAAAACTATGAATCCCAGTTTGTTGAAACCCAGTTTGCGCTGATACCCACTTTGTCGAAAATAAAATGAAAACCTTAAAACATTAACCACAGCATAACATTCATGTTGGAGCACTCTCTTACTATGTATTTCTATAAGAAATAGCGGCTTATTGTAGTTAAATGATTCTTTTTGTTTTAATCTGTGAATCAATTGGCTATCAGAAAATAAAATTCAATTTAATAGGCCTCGCAGTTAAAACGTTTCATTTGCATACCTATGATAAATACATAAATTTATAAAAAAAAAAATAATAATAAAGGAAATATACAAATTAATAATAATCTACAATTATAATACACACATGCGATTCTAATTTTAACTGATAGCCATGCTTTCAAGTGTGTTTTCTACAGCTTTATTGTCTTCCAATATTTTTCCTTTTAATTTGTACACAAATGAAG